TTAATGCAGTAAATATAGAAATACTAAATTAGAGAGAATTTTTATTTATTTTCACTAATTGCTCGCTTTTGTCTAATCTTTCTATTATATGGATGAAACATATTTGAACGAACTCTGCGTCCTTGACAGCTTCCTTTTGCTTCTCTTTTGAATTCGTGGTTTGTTTTCGTAGTATCTATGTCCATCTTTGTCCGTCACGTGATTTCGTCGGCGACCGTGAGTTCCGATCTCTTCCCCTTCGAATAACCTTAAAGCCTGTTCTGGGAAATATAAACTTGTGCATCGTGCAAAGACTGACAAGCAGCAGGATACAGTGCGATAAAGCGAAACAGTGTGATAAAAGTAGGTCGAGTTAGAGAGAAGAATGACGAATAAACTGTTCGCAACTATTTACTGTGAATACTACTGCAACTTGACTAATTATTGAAACATATTGCTTTTTCAACATAAGCTTACATATTCAACAAGTGTAACTCTTGATGACTTGACATGACAATGATTCTTTCAGTCTGTTAATGAATGATTAATGTTAAAATTGCATTTCAAGATGTTAAAAGAAATTTATATTTATATTATAACAGTTTAATTTAGTTTTACAGATGTCAACATTTAGGTTAGGATGCTTTCAAGTGTCTAACAAAGATTGAACAAACAAGAAAATAGTTAAAATGTAATTTGCATTTTAAAAAAATACATTGACATTAAGGTAAAATGTTGAATATACAGATTGTATTGAATATACAGATGAACATATGTTGAATATATTATATAATTACTAAAAAAAATGGGTCATTTAAAAAGATATATTTGAAATTAAATAAAACCGCCCTTACTCAATGCCGAAATAGCTCAGTTGGGAGAGCGTTAGACTGAAGATCTAGATGTCCTCGGTTCGATCCCGGGTTTCGGCAATTTCCCATTTTTTTTGTTACTTCTTTATAAATATTTATATTTACACCATCCAAATTTATTCTATGCTACTACTAAAAACTAGATACTACTACTACTACTACATTTTTTAATCTATACTATGTTTTAATATAACATAATAAATGAATTAAATACACTGTTATAATTATGCTGTATAAATATAATAATTACAGTAATAATTTCAGTAATCATTTTACTGTTTAATAAATAAGACTTCAATAATTATTTAGCCAGTTATTTTATATATCACATTACATGTACGATAAAATTATAAATTATATTTGTTAAAATTATTAATTATATGTATATAATTTCTGACCAAATTGTAACATTAATATCATTCTTAAATGAAATATTTAATATTGAATTTGATTCTAGTTGTAAGTGAATACTCATCATCTATTTCGTTATTTTATACAATGTTTTTTTTTGCGTGTATTTGTAACAGTGAAAAAATGTTTTCTATGAAGGCATTTACGTTAACACGTAGCCATGTTTATGGTTGAAATAATAACATTCTTTAAAAATAACGGGCTGCTCCGTTGAATGTGTCTGACAGTGACGAATACTCTCATGCGAGTAAAGAGTAAACGACCCGGTTTTTCAACGAGGAACAATATAGCTCGAAATGCGTAAGTAATACACGAACAAACCGAATCATGGTCGAATGAGAATTTCTTGTAATATTCTATTTCGTTTCTGAACCGAAAGGAAAACTTGATAAAAAGCTAATTTAGTTCTCATTCTAATTAATTCTGTTTAAATAAATACTAATTAGTAACAACATTTGTAATCTATATTTACTTATATATAAATATCTTTTACTTTTATAAATTAGATAAAATACATTATATATAACCTGTTGAGATACTCTTAATATGTACTTGTATCAATATTGTCAAATAAAAATATTTGTCTCAATATCGCCTATATCAAAGACTGGTGTAACACTTATAATGTTTTAAAATAAATTGATATTCATATCCTCTTTTTTCAAAGAGTGACGATATCGACACGTGCTGAAATAACGTGTCAAAAGTTACACGCCCGTATGAAAAATTTAATCCAAAGATAGTTGTAGCACGTAGATCACACTTTCAGTTCTAGAAACTTTTAATTAAATCCATTGCGGAATATACAGCTTTTTAGAAAATAAATGAAATTCTCGATTTGAGGATATGTGATATGTAATGAGGAGAGATTGGGAATGCAATTGCGTATACTTTGTTGTATAATAAAGGTGGAATAATTATTTTTATTCAAATTTCATTTGAAAAAGATTAATTTGTTTCTTTTCTTTATAAAGAAAGTGGACGAAACAAGATATAATTATATTAAAAGCAATATTAATAATTTTTTTCATATGTATTAATTATATATATATTATTTTTTTTATTCATTTCTTTTTCATTAATCATAAATATTCGTTTATGAGTTCTTAATTTTTTTCTTTATGTTAATTATGGAATTAATTATTAAGTTCTAATCAATTTTTATAACAATGTGTTTTATTTTAAATAAAACAGATTGTAATTATAAAAATTGAAAACTTCCCGAAAGAATTTTCAATATTCCTCTATTATAATTTTTAACCCTTTGCGGTCGGAGCCGCCCGACGAGCGAGAGTTGCTGTGGACGAGAGGTATTGATGCGCGCAGTAGAGAAAATGTACACGTTGAACGTTTGCGTTATAAAAACTAAAGCTTTATTTATGTACAACAAAATTTTTTGAAGAATCCCAGCAAAACATATTTCGTTATGGTATGTTTATGTGACTCGTTTTATATTCGTGTTTGGTGTGGTATCTTTTGAAACAGTCACCTATGTGCAAAGCCGATTTAGCAGAACAAGTAGCACAATAATATTTCGATTCTCTTCTTCCACCTTTGATTTTCCGATTTGAACATACCACACAGTCTTTACTCCTTCCTGTATCATCCCGCCAAATAATATGTAAAAGGCTGTTCAGCCTTTCTCCTGTTCCAGAAGTTGAAGAATTTGTTGGGATCAGTGTCACGAACATCTCCAACTAATTGGATCCACCAAGCGATGTACAAATTGCAAATGCGTAACTTTTGTATTGTGTTTCTTCTGATTTTCTTTATGTAATAGATAAGAATTTATGGCTGAGATTTCCAAGCCCCAAAAAAATAATTTTCGCCACCATTTTTGGGACTTTTGCATGAAACAGTATGTACCGGTATACTGGTCTGCTTTATCGACCCCGTTCATATATTTATTATAATTTCTAACGACACTTGGCTTCACAATCCTGGTTGTTCCTTCTTTGCGTGTTCTTTT